TGACCGGAGCTCTGGAAGGTCGGGGGGTGGACGAGAGGTGCCACACTGCAGTGACCACACACTCACACCTGGGCCTGCCTCAGCACAGGGAGATGGGCTTGCTTCTCTCAGCCTCAGTCCCCCAGGTTATGAAACGGGCAGTGGGTGCTGTGCAAACCATTCTGAGACCAGCTTCTAACCTGTCCCAGCCAGAGCCCAACTGCACTGCTGCAGGAGGAATTCCCTCCCGCACGGCACCCAGAGCAGGAGCTGGGACTGTTTCCTGGGCCTTGTGAGCCACCCTTTTCCCGTGAGCCTTTACTTCCACTCCTACTGGGGAGGGCCCTGCCATGTGGCTTCAGGAAGAAACTGAGGCCCAGGGAGCACAGGAGCTGGGCCAGAGGGGTGGGAAGAAAAGGGGCACCTCTGCCGTGCAGGGCGGTGCTCCTCACCATCTCCACGTTCTCCCGTGTGAGGTTCTTGAGCTTCTCCTCCATCCGCTGGATGCTCTGCAGCAGGTCCTCGTTCTTCTTGTTCATCCGCTTGTTTTTCTCCACCAGCGGCTTCAGCTGCACCTCGGTCTCACGAGTGCGCTTCAGCTACGGCAGCGACAGACACGGGGTCAGGTGGCTGCAAGGGCCCGTGGGCTCTGGGCTGTGCCATCCAGGCGAGGGGACAGGGAGACCACAGGGGCTCAGGCCGCCTGCTGGCAAGTGGCTGTGCCGTGTCCACCTGCCCATCTCGTTCCTCACCCAGACAGGACTCCCAGAGGTCAAGGGTCACACACAGCCACTGGCTCCTGCCACCTGCCCTGCCACTTTCCCCTGTATAAAGGAGGCCACAGCTCCACATCACTCGGAAAACAGACACTGTGCCCAGCTGGCCAGGCTCAGAGCTGGGCACGGGGTCGGCACTGTCATCAGCCATGAGGCTCACCACGCAGGTCCTTGGAGCACGAGACCCTGCAATACACCAGGCACCACCAGGAACAACTCCCCATGCACCCATCTTGGCCATGTGGTCAGCACCTTCAGCCCCTGGAGACTCTGAAGCAGGAGGATTCTGTGGCCAGGTTGGCCTTCTAGAACCATCTATGGCTCTGACTGCCATGTGGAGGCCAGACCAGTGAGCAGAGGCCGTGGGAAGTCACAGTGGTGGGGGGCGGGGAAGAGGGCCCAGGCGGGGTGCTGCACAGCAGTGTCCTGTGATGGGCTTTTTTAGCTGCATGACCATAGTCAAGTTCTTTGCCTCAGTTTCCTCCTTCGCCTCTTTCCTCCACAGACCTGCAGTGAGAATTAAATGTGCAGCAGCCGCCTCTGTGGGGCTATTTGAATGGGCAAAAATTAGAAAATAGCATCCATCAGCACCATGACAACCACGAGCACAGCTGCCTCGCACCAAGTCCTCACTGTGACCTGGCACAGCCCTGGTCCCTTCCTGTGTTCTCTTGCTGAGCCCTCAGGGAGACAGGACAGGGGTCCCACCCTCTCAGAGAACACCAGGCCACATCAGGGGAGCCGTTCGCTCCAGCTATGGCAGGCTCCAAGAGCAGACCTAGCTCCAACGACCGTACCCGGTGGGCCCTCCGGATGACTCTGCCCCGCAGCAGCCTCCCCCACGGCCTAAGCAAGTCTGACTCTGCTGCAAGCCCACCTCTTTCCTTTGTAAGCAACCTCCCCACACCCTTCGTAGGTGCCGCCGTGTGCCGCTGGCCTTATGTAGCATCACGAGGCCTAACGAACGCTCTTTCCCATGGCATGTTCTGGCATATCGTGATTTCTATCAGGGTGCAGCAGGCTGAGCTGGTATACTAGGAGTCCGTGATGTCAAAGGCTGCTGATCACACTAATGCAGAGAGTCGGGCAGAGCAATGGAGGGAAGCAGGGCGCTGCCACCTCTGCGGGATGGAAGAATTAAGGCCCGTGGGCAGAGCTAATGGCCCTGCCTGGCCCTCCTCCAATGGAGCCGTTATCACCTGAAGAACCACACTTTGCCTATTTGTGACTTCTGTCAGAACTGAACAAGGACTCCCAGCTCACAGCTCCCATCCTGGAAGTGGTACTGGGCACTGGGCTCCTCCCTTCAACCCGGCCCGAAGAAGAAGGTGGACAACAGCGACGGTCCAAAGCAGATTCGAGAGCCAGCCCACACTGGCGCTCCCTCCTCCATGCGGCTAAAACCCCAGGCAAGCCAGGGCATTGCTACCAAGTAGGAGGGGGCAGCGCCTCCCCCATGCTAGGGACAGAGTCGGGGTGATGTGGTCACAAAGAAAGTGACAGAACCAAGAATCAAACCCAGGGGTCAGACTGCAGACCCAGTCTGGGTCACCAGCTATAAATGTTAAACTGGGACCTGCGGAGGTACAACGTGTATACGTGTGGGACCCATGTTCTACTCCTAGAACTCTGCCCTGCAGAAACACAGACTCCAGTTGGTAAAGACAGACACACATCTTCTAGGTGGATCTGTAACAGCAGAGAAACTGGTACACCTCCCTCATCCAGGGAGCAGCTGGGCGGGCGCAGTGTGCCCACGGGACAGACCTCCCAACAGCCGTGGCTCACAGAACTGGGGGAGAAAACGCTCAGGGCAGAAATGTCCACCTTATAACCATGAAGCCAAACCAAAGGCCTCCAGGAGGGTGTTGACATGTTTACAAGAGACACCCCCAGTCTCACGGGGTCACATGTGATAGCTCATGAGTAGAAGCTCCAAGTGCTGGCAAACTCATCACTTTCTCTTTTAAATACCTCAGCACAGTTATTTCAAGCAATCTGTGTGTTTCCAAATCCATCCAGTAAATTACTATGCAGCTTGTGAGTTGTTTTTTGGTTTTTTTTTTTTGCTCAAGAATATTTAAGTGAAAAGTGGAAGCATACTAGATGTACAGTCTGATTAAAGCTGTATAAAATATGCCTTTAAAAATATTAGCCACAGAGCTGGGCATGGTGGTGCACACCTGCAATCCCAGCACTTGGGAGGCTGAAGCAGGAGGATTGCTTCAAGCTCAAGGCCAAGCTGGTCTACATAATGAGTTCAAGTCCAGACTGAAATGCATAGCAAGACCCTGCCTCAAAAAAAAAAAACCAAACTAGCAGTCAATCAGTTTATTTTGATACTATTAAAATTGTAAAGAAGTACTACTTTTTAACACTTTTTCACCTTCTACATTTTAAAATTATTCTGAAAATACACCTCCTTTCATAATAAAAATAAGAATAAAGATAAACAGTATGAGGCACTTGTCAAAAAGGTTACTTATTGACTACTGCCACCTAAAAATGAAGTTAGCTGTCTATCCAGTGAATTTAAACATACTGGTGAAATTGCTATTTTTATGGGAGATTTATTTTTAGCCAAAAGTCCATATGTGTTTCTTACGGCCTGTGTCTAGATGTTCCCCAAAGCCTCATGTGGTCATAGGGCTTTTTCGGAGGTGGCTGAACCTGGAGTGTGTGATTGATTTGTAGTGCAGTGCTGGGATTAAGGGTGCAGGGCTTAGGGGTGGGTGACTGCTGCACCGGTCCACTGACTGGATTAGCACCAGCCTAATCCCGGTAGAATGCAGACAATATAAGGGATGGAAAGAGGCTTGTTCTGCTCTCTCTTATTGCTTGTGCTGTCTTCTGCCACCATGAACAGTTGCTCCTCTGCCATCCTCTCCACCTGGGAGCCAGCTGATGATGGACTGAAACCTCCACGAACTGTGAGCCACATACCCCTCCCCCTTTGACTTTGAGTATCAGATATTTTGTCTCAGCAGCAAGGAAAGTAAGACAGTGTTATTTTTAAAATTAGAAGCGTATGAACTTTTATGCAAAAGAAAGTCAAGTTAAGGAAAAAATGAAATGATCCATATCATCACGCCACCCGAAAGAACAATTTCACTATCTGATGTGATGACGATTTGTCTTTGATCTGTAAACTGCTTTCATCACTTAATCTACTGGGCCCTGAACACCTGCTCCACACTTCCCACTAAGCACCTCCAACTGCTAAGGGTCAATCCCTGCAGAAGCAGCAGCTGGCAGTAAGTGCATAGCCAACTTTAATAGAAAAGAAACGGGAAAGGAAGGAAGGAAGGAAGGAAGAAAGGAAGGAAGGAAGGAAAGGAAAGGAAGGGAGGGTGGGAGGAAGGGAGGAAAGAGAGAAAAAGAGAAAGAAAGAAAGAAAGAAAGAGAGAGAGAGAGAGAGAGAGAGAGAGAGAGAGAGAGAGAAAGAAAGAAAGAAAGAAAGAAAGAAAGAAAGAAAGAAAGAAAGAAAGAAAGAAAGAAAGAAAAAGAAAGAAAGAGAGGAAACCCAGGAGGCCTCTGCAGGAACTTCTGCGGAAGACACCTCTCGGCCGGGGCCTCTTCCCCTGCCCCCGCCAGCCCCCAAGACACCCTCTGTCTCCCACTGATTACCAGCTCGTTCCTCTCATCTGCCAACAGGGTATTTCTGTCTTCCAGCTTCCGGATCACTGAATTCAGCTCGGCAATTTTTAGTTGAAATCGCCTCGCATCCCGCTCATCCATATGCTGATCCTAAAAGAAGAATCAAAATACAAATGTACTCTGAAAAGCCGAAATGGCTCAGAGCATCCCGCAGGCCTTAGAAAATTCCCATGACAACACAGCAGGTGAGATCTTCATTAAGACTGTGCGCCACACGTAGAGGGGACGGCGCCCCGCATCCTTTACACGCTCGGGGAGGCCTCAGACCCTTCAGTGGCTCATGAACATCTGGCCTGCGGGGACCTCACAACACGATTCCAACCCACCTGTGGATCTCACAGGCCCCTCACATGCAACTCGGTCCTCAGAATGTGCCAAGACATCCCTCAAGGGCGGACACCGTGCCCTTGCCCAGCACAGAGTGTTCAATAGGACGCCCCCTTATTCAGTGAATGAATAAACGAGTGCAAGAATGGTGCCTCAGCTCCTTTGCCTCCGAGAAGGGCCAGTCGGTGGCCCCACAGGCCCTTCCGCTTGCCGCTGGCTGCTGGCTGCTGGCTGCTGGCTAAGCTCCTCTTGGTCTTGCAGGACTCTGCCTCTGTCATGCCCTGCCTGCTGGGGGCCCCTCCCGAACTCCGCCGTGCACCCTGCTACGAGGTTGCCAGGTCTCCTTGCCATGGGCTCCCAGCCACAGTGGGCAGAGGCAGGAAGTCTTCACCTCAATGTCTCCGTGCCCAGGGCCGGGCCAGGTGGCTGGGGAACATCTGCAAACCCGGGCAGGGACACAGGAGGGAGAAAGGACGGACGGGCAGAGGAAGGCAGGCAGGCTCACCAGGACAACGACCAGCACAGGGAGGAGTGGGCAGGGGCCATCCTCACCTGGGCGCCCATGAGCTCTGCCATGTCCCCGATGCCCGGCGGCAGCTCCCTCTTCGGGCTGCTGTGGTGCCGCTCAGCCTCCTTGACCTGGACCAGCTGCTCATCCAAAGCCTCTTTCTGCAGAAGCAGCCGCTGGGTCTGCCCGGCCTGCACACCCAGCTCCTTCTCCAGGGCCAGAATCACCCGGTCCTTCCCTTTGATCTCATCCATCTGGAAGAGAGGGAACAGTCACTGGGGGCTCTGGCCAGGGAAACCTCTCCGTGCTCCGGGCCTCAAGCCGGGTCAGCTGAGCTGGTGCACTGGAGACAGAGAGCAGGGCAGGCTCCAGGGCCCCGGGCCTCCCCCTACTCTCCGGAGAACAGAGGAAATGGTGCTCTGGGTCCAAGGACCTACACAGTCACCCCAAAACCTGCCACAGGAGTTCAGCCATGCACACTGCGCTCCCCTTAAGGGAACACATGAAATCCCCATTCTGAGCCTCAGCTGCTCCACAGGGTCACCTGGACAGTTGTCTTCCAGTCTTGACCTGACCAGCACTAAACAGGGTCACCTGGGCACCTGCTACACCCTTGGTGGACTTGGTTTCCAGCCTCTTTACGGATGCAGGTATCTTGCTATGGCTGCCACTGGAGCCTAGGGTTAAATAGGCGAGGGCTGGCTCTTCTCCCTGCGTCCCTTCCCTAGGCAGCCCATCTCCTACGAGGGAGGGATGTCCCCAGGTGTAGCTGCTGCTCAAAGGCACCCACTCATGCTGATAGTCTCTGCCCTCCAAAGCCACAGAGCCGGCTGGCTGCTGGCCTGCTGGGCCTTGGGGAACCTTGGCTCTCCAGGTACTGGCCTGCACCTGAGCCCTGGTCGCACAGCCGGGTCCTGTCCAGCCTTTCCCGGGGCAGCAAGTCAGGCAGGGGACACAGGCTGAGCACACCGGGCCAGGTGACGGTGGGGAAGCACACCAGAAGTTTACAGAGGAAGCTTTGGCCCCGGGCCACCCCTTCAACCTCACCCACAGCCAAGGGTGGGGAATGGCACTGGTGGCATTGGACAGCACCCCGATGTCCCCTGGAACCTCTGAAGGTGACCTTTTGGCAACAGGTGGATACAAACGCCATTAGCTAAAGAGAGGCCATAACGGAGCACACGGGTCCCCACGACCGGTGTCCTTATGAGAGGGGACAGAGGACGAGGCCACAGGAAGGAGGAGCTGGAGGCTGGAGGGCTGCTGCCCTGGCCAAGGTGACACTGGCAGCCAGGGGCGGGAAGGACCCTCCTCAAGGGCCCGGGGTCCTACCCACACCATGGCTCTGACATCTGGGCTCCAGAGCCATCAGTGCTTTATTACAGCAGCCGCAGGAAAGGACGGCCGATACTCGGGGTAACTTTCCGACCACGGGCGTTAATTAACTGATAAAAAGCACAACAGCTTGAGCTGTGGCAACTACTCTGTCATCATGTCACCTACTATGGGACTTGCACCCCAAGATTTGCAGATGACATACAAAGACAGCTCTGTAAGAGAACACTGGTGCCCTGGCAAGGATGGTGTCAGCAAAATGCCCCGCGGACAAGGTGAGACAATGTCCGTGGCACAGTCCATCCACTGCCTTGATTTTCAAGGTACAGTGAAAGCCAGTTGATACACACCAGCCTGGCCCTGTGGAAAGACCAGTGTGTCTGGAGGACATCAGGGACCAGAGACACAGCTTCCCCAGGATGCTGTGGGTCTTCCAGCAAGTCCTTAACCTCCCTGTATCTTGGGCGCCTTGTGCATAAAATGGGAACATAGACCACCACCGCCAGGAGAGCTGTGAGGATGAAGGAGACAGCGGGAGCAAGCACACTAGGCAGGTTCCTGATGGTGTCCTGTGCCTCAGCTTGTTCATCTGTGAAATGGGGATAATAACAGTAGGTGCAGGAATGCATTAATACATGGGAAATGTGGGACACAGCAGGCTTCAAGAAATGTCAGCTAAAGCCAGGCATGGTGGCACACACCTGTAATCCCAGCACTTGGGAGGCTGAGGCAGGAGAACTATTGCAAGTTTGAGACTAGCCTGGGCTACAAAGTGAGCGCAAGGCCAGCCTGAACTGCATAGTGAGACCCTGTCTCAAAAAAAGACAAAAAAAAAAAAAAGAAAAAAGAAACATCAGCTGCACTGTCGCTGCTATGTGGCACACAGTAGGCCTCAATAAACAGCAGTTCCTGTTCTTCCTAGTCTCCTGTGCCTTTAGGTACCAAAGACCGTGGTCTCCACAATTACAGGTCCACTTTCTAACTCCTGGCACCTGTGAATGCACCTGTTTGGGAAACTGTCCTGGTAAATGCAATTAAGCTGGGGATTTGGAGAAGAGGACATCTTTCGGATTAACATGTCACGTTAACCATAGAAGATGGACAGAGGAAAAGAAGTCCATGCAGGGACAGAGGCAGAGACCGGAGCAGGCCAACTGAGCCAAGGACGCCCAGGGCCCCCGAACCTGGGAGAGACAGGAAGAGCCTCCCTAGAGGCTTAGGAGAGAGGTGACCCTGCAGACACCTTGAGTTAGGACTTCCGGCCTCCAGAATGCAAGGAATACACTTCTGTTGTCTTGAGTCTCTAAATGTGTGGCCATTTAAGGCAGTCACAAGGCGCTAACACAAACGCTGGACCCTCTCAAGCTCTGTGACACAAGTGGATTGTAATCTGCCACTCTTACTTCCAAATCACACACGCAGTTCAGACACAGAGAGCCACTGATGGCCGCGGCACAGCGCTGGTGTGGAGCCCTGCTCTGGTGACTGACAGAGGTGAGCTGGCCGCCAGCTCCACTCTCATGAAACCCGGGAGGCGGGGCCATCTCCCTGGCAGCCTCTGTCCCTGCACAGCGGGGGCCCTAGGAGGCTTTAGGACCCACCCTGCTGAATTCTAGGAGAGCTTTGGGTCAGCCAAGGATCAGCACAATACCCAGCATACTCTAGCACATGTCACCCACACCAGCTGCCATCCCTGATCTCGGTTAGCCCCTATCTTACATAAAGCTATTTCATTTAAAAGGCAGGCCACTGGGCAGGAGGTTTTCCTGCCAAGAGCTACAAGAAGTGATAAAAAAAAAGTGCTTAAATTTTTTTAAAAAACTGTATTACCATAAAAAAAACACACTGCCACAAATGATGGGATAAGTGTGTCCAAAGCAGAAGTATTCTGAGGGAGGCTAATGGCAATGTGTCTTTTACTGTAACACATTAAAGGAAAAAACATCCACTGTAGTTTTTGATAAACTATATACTGATAAATGTTATAGCAGTTTCTGTCAAATAAAAACCTTACGATGTGTCTTCATCCACGTTATTCACTGGATCGGGCACCATGTGACTTCTGGCTCTTGCCTAAAGTTGAAATGACCATGAAAGGCAAATTTTTGGAATGGATTCAGGACATCAAGGCACCCACGACTGTGTAACTAGAGACACTCAAGAAAGAGGACTCCAGAGCTGCTGCAGAAAGTAGCAAGAACCATGGGGTAAGCATGTTCAAAGCAAGGGGGGTGGTATCTTAAGGAGGATCAAGGTCACTGTCTTTTACCTCAGTCATTTAAAAAGAAATAAAAATTTCATTCTATTTTTAAGTCACATCTTGTATGACCTGCTGGCCCTGAGGTACCTTCCCTGGAATCAAAAGGGTGCTTTCTCCCTGCCCTAGGCAGACATCCAGGGCTCCAGCGGGGTGCCCAGTGCCACTGGTGCTGTTCTTCTCAAGCCACACCAAGTGGGCCCACTGTTCCCCCAGGTCAGGATCCACCAGCAGCTACCTGCTTCACCACATCCTGGTCTCCAGATGAGCAGGTGTGCTGCCTTCCTGGTAGAAGCTTCCCTACAGAACACTGTTGTATTGGCAATAGAGACAGTGACCCAGACGCGATCAGAACTCAGGTGGGAGGAGCTCACTGGTTTGAATCACTCACCCATGCTCTCCTTGTTCAACAAATGCTGAGCCATCAGTGAGGGCTGGGAAATGCAGGTGAGCAGAACAGTCCCCATACCCCATCCTCCAAGCCACCGCTCTTGGCAGGGAGGGACAGAGAGTAAACACAAGAAGCAAATGTAGCACTGGACTTCAGAGGGATGAGAGCCAGGAGAAAACCCATCACTGCGCAGGGAGTCAGTACTGGGAGCCGAGGAGCGCGAGCACGGGGCTTACCCACACCCCAAGCCACATCACCACGTAAAGGTCTCTAGAAAATATTCTCCACTAGTGCAGATGGCACCCAGGGATGGATGGACAAGGCACAACACGTTCTAGAGCTGACACCTTCCAGATTTAGTCCCCCAGCCAGACTCCTGAGGTTCCAGCCATCAAGAGCCTGGCCAAGCCGACACAGCCAATGGCAGACACCCTCACCATCTGCTGGTTTCTGGCTGGCTCCAGGCTGAGCTCTTGGAGATCCTGCCCCTGCCTCAGGAGCCCAATAGAATGGAGTCACTGATGCTGAGCTTCCCAAGCTCCTGAACCATTTATTGGTGCACAGGACATCTCTCACTTGCCTCCCTGCACCCACTTTCCATTCTGCCATACCCCACTCCAAGCCATGTGGATTAGGAGAGGGTGGGGCTGAAACCACCCCAAGTTCCCAGGGCAGTCCCTGATTGGCTCATGCCACCCACAGGGCCCACCCCCTGAGAGTAACTGGTTTTGGATGGATGGGATGGATGCATGACCCAATCAGAGCCAACATCCTGAAGGGCGAATCTCTCAGCCCCTCTTGTTTGTCCTGCAGAGCTAAGAAGGACCCTTGGGTGTGCACAGGGGTGGCATCTCACCAGCACAACCTGAGAGCCCACAGCTCCAACACAATGGGACATGAGACAGAGCACAGCCCCCAAACCTGATCTGGGTGACATCCTTTTTGTCCCCGGCACTGTGCCTAAAGCTAAACCTACAACTTCACAGGTGCAAGAGCCAGCCGACCCTCCAGCTGGTGTGAGGTGGAATTTCCACCACTTAGAACCGAAAGAATCCACACTGACACTGGGTCTGAAGAAGAGCAACAAAGGTGACAGAGGTCACCACTCCTTCCAGGCTTGTGTGAGCTGGCACCACATTTGTATGTCAGGGACCCACTCAAGCACTCTCCCAATCAGATGTCATTCACCCCATTTTACATGCAAACTTGAGGTGCAGGGAGATGTATGCGCCCACACTCTAGCTGGTGCCAGGACGACGGCTCAAATTTAG